TGCATGCAGAGTTCGCTCTTACCTGGGTGACAGGAGGGGGTCCCTCCGTTAAACACGGAAGTCACTCTAACCTGGGTGACAGGTGAGAGTTCCTTCATCACACGCAGCGGTTCTAACCCAGGTGACAGATGGGGGTCACTCTAACCCGGGTGACAGGCGGGAGTCCCTCCATCGCACACGGGGTTTCTAACCCAGGTGAAAGGAGGGGGTCCCTCCATCACGAGCGAGGGTTACTCTAACCCTGATGACAGGAGGGGGTTCTTCCATCATGGGCGAGGGTCACTGTAACCCTGGTGACAGGCAGGGCTCCCTCCATCGTGAGCGAGGTTGCTCTAACCCAGGTGACAGGCAGGGGTCCCTCCATCACATGCACGGTTCACTCTAACATGAGTGACACGAGGGAATCCCTCCATTGCACGCGGGGGTTGCTCTGATCCTGGTGACAGGCAGGGGTCCTTATGTCACATGCAAGTGTTGCTCTAACCCAGGTGACAGGCGAGGTCCCTCCATCGTGATCGGTGGTTGCTCTGTACTAACCCAAGTGTTTGGAACGGTGGGGTTTCTCTTCACCTCGTTTATTTTATTACTTTAAGTGGTATAAATACTGTATGATCCTCCAAGGAAAATTAGAAAGTACAAATGTACAAAGAAATAAAAAAAAGTTGTCACTCAGGTAGCACACTTGTCTCCTAAACATTTTCCCAAAGATAACTTTTAAAAAAACAAGGAATTCTGCCATGCAATGTCCTATCCCTTGTGCCATTTCTACCTGAATCTGAAGCTTGGACGTTCCTACTCAAGAAGTACATCATTTTTAATGACAACTTAAATGGACTTGAGTTTAAACCCATTTTACTAATACTGGACATTTCAGTGTTGTTGTGAACTGTTTCACTACCTTAAGCAATGCTGTGGTGACCACTCTTTTATGTGCATGTTTTGGCACCCTTGCCTGTTTTTTTAGCGTGTCTGGATGTAGGATACAGGGCCAAGACTGTACACTTTTGGGAGGCTTTTGGATACCAAGTGCCTCGTTGACCCCAGAAGTGTTCAGTTTATAACCCTCCAGCCATGTGAAAATAGCAGAACAGTGGCGTTTTAATATCCAAGATGGACATGTCATCTGGAGACAGTCATTAGTGTTAAGCTGAACTTCCGAATTGCTTTTGGTTGCCAACTTAAGTATTGTGTTCTAAGATTCTGGCATACTAGGAAGATACCGTTTGCCGTTTTTCATCTCTGATCCTTCCCCTACGATAAATTGGTTTGTGGTTTGTTGATAGCATCTTTGTGTGAGGACTGTTTTCTGCATTGCTTTTCAAAAATTCGGGGTTGAGTTTTTTTCTTTTGATTTGGTGTTTTGATTTGTTTTGATTTGTTTTGTTTGAGTTGGAGTCTCACTCTGTCGCCCAGACTGGAGTGCAGTGGCTACTCCCGGCCACTGCAGTCTCGACCTGCTGGGCTCTGGCGATCCTTCCACCTCAGCCTTCCGAGTAGCTGGAACTACAGGTGCACGCTACCATGCCCGGCTCATTTTGATTTATTGTAGAGATGAGGTCTCACCAAGTTGCCCAGGCGGGTCTCGAACCCGCGGGCTCAGGCAATTCACTTACCTTGGCCTCCCAAAGCGCGGGATTACAGGCTGAGCCACTGAGCCCAGCCGTTTTGATTTGTTGTTATTGTTTTTGATTCAGAATCTCACTCTGTCACCAGGGATGCAGTGGCATAGTCATGGCTACTGCAGCCACGACCTGCTGGGCTCAGGTGATCCTTCCACCTCAGCCTTCCAAGTAGCTGGCTACAGCCAGTGTCCCAGGGGAGGAAATAAGCATAACACCTCCTGGCTAGTTTTCTGACCTATTATGGAGACGAGGTCTTGCCAAATTACTCAGGCTAGTCTCAAACCCCTGAGGTTAGGCAATCCTCTAGCCTCTGCCTCCCAAAGTGCTGGCATTACAGGCATGAGCCATCACACCCAGCCCAATATAAAAATAATGATAATTATTGTTAATCATTTTTGAGTCGGAGTCTCATTCTGTCACCCAGGCTGGAGTGAAGTGATACTCTCACGGTCTCCGCAGCCTCAACCTGCTGGGCTCAAGTGATCCTTCTGCCTCAGCCTTCCAAGTAGCCAGACTTACAGGCATGCACCACCATGCCTGGCTAATTTTTTGATTTATAGTAGCGATGAATTCTCACCAAGTAGCCCAGGCTGGTCTCAAACACCTGAGCTCAGGCAATCCTTCTGCCTCATCCTCCCAAAATGCTGGGATTACAGGCGTGAGCCACCACACCTGGCCTATTTACTGTATATATTTTACTTTTTTTTTTTTTGAGTTGGAGCCTCACTCTGTCGCCCAGACTGGAGTGCAGTGGCCGCTCCCAGCCACCGCAGCCTCGACCTGCTGGGCTCCGGCGATTCTTCCGCCTTAGCCTTCCAAGTAGCTGGAATTACAGGCATACGCTACCATGCCCAGCTGGTTTTTTTTTTTTAATTTATTGTAGAGATGAGGTCTTGCTTCCCAGGCGGGTCTCGAACCTGCGAGCTCAGGCAATCCACTCACCTCAGCCTCCCAAAGATGCGGGATTACAGGCTGAGCCACCGAGCCCAGCTTATATTTTACTTTTTAAAAAACTTTAAAAATTTTTTTATTTTAGATTTGGGGGTACACATGCATATTCATTACATGGACATATTGTATAGTGGTGGGGACTGGGTCTCAGGTGGCTAAACTTTTAAAGATAGTTATTTTTTAAAAGTCACCCGTGGTTGTAAGATGTTAACGTTGTGAAAAACTGAGTGACGAGCACATAGGAATGCTCTGTAGTGTCTTTGCAACTCTTCTACACATCTAAATATATTTAAAAATAAAATTCTTGTTTAAAAGGACAAGGAGGAAGATCACTGTGTTCCTCTACAGACTTCTTCCCATGAAACCATTTCTACCTTCTAGTCTTGTGTCTTTGAAGTATTTTCCTCGCTCTCACTGGCTCTCACTCCTATTCTGCTGACCTCTTGATACCAACCACGATGCACCTGTCTTAGCCCTTGTCCCAGTCTTTATTGGGGTCAGACTGTTATTTCCTACTGAACATCAGCTGACAGATACTTACAAACATTCACAATAAGTCAGAGGGAAACTCCATGAACATATTGCTTTCAAGACTTTGATCAGCTGAGGCGAGTGGATTGCCTGAGCCCGCGTGTTCAAGACCCACCTGGGCAACTTGGTGAGACCTTGTCTCTACAATAAATCAAAAATTAGCCGGGCGTGGTAGCATGCACCTGTAGTTCTGGCTCCTTGGAAGGCTGAGGCGGAAGGATCACCGGAGCCCATCAGGTCAAGACTACGGTGGCCGGGAGTGTGCCACTGCACTCCAGACTCCAACTCAAAAAAAAAAAAGACTTTGAACAAGCTGTGTCTGCAAAAAGTACACTCAGAACCTTAAATTTCTGAAGCCTTCCCCCCCCCCCACAGTTTGTAGTTCAGGTAGAAGTATAGGTGAGCCCGCATTTTTGGTAAGCCTCTCAGCGGTTCTGATGTCCCGTAGAGCAGTTTCAGAAAGGCTCGTCTATGTGTGTGGGAATGGGACTTGATGGCTGAAGGAACTGGGAGACAACATGGTCAGGAGGCTACGGCCAGTGTCCCGGGGGAGGGAATAAGCCTTTGACGTATAATGAAAGCGGGGAGCAAGAAGGCAGGTGTAGAAACGCGCAGACGAGGCAAAATGCCCTGTTCAGAGCAGGCGGGAGGGGGAGCCTCGGGCAAGCTTCTAGTTCTTTTGAAGGACGAGTGAAGAAGGAGGCATGTTTTGCTGAGGTGGGATTTCTTGAGGTCAGGCTTGCTCTTTCTGCCTTTGACTCCTAGGTGACTGCCCTGCGTGCAGCTGTTCACTGCCTTCTGTGCCAGTTACCGTTCATGGTGCTGCACCCACAAAGATCACATTCAAGCAGGGGGGACACAGATAAATACATATCGTGCGTGTCGAGTAGATGAATTCATGAAGAGAGAGAGGGGCCGGAGAAGTGGTGGTAAGAGAGCCCTGAGGCTGCTCTTTAGATAGGACGGTCCTGACAGCTTCTCTGAGGAAGTTACAGTTGAGAGAGACCCGAACAAAATAAGGAAAGGACGAGCATGCAGGTATCTGTGGGAAAGGCATTCGAGCAGGAGGAACAGTAAAAATGAAGGCCCTTGTCAAGGGGTAGCAAAGAGGTCTGTGTTGCTGGAGCAGAGTGAGGAGGAGAGTGGAGGTGGTGAGAGGCCTGCACAGTCGGGGAGAAGCTGATGGGAACATATATTAGTAACACAGGAGCTTTCTGACAAAGTAGCCTGTGGCTGTGAAGAAAAATGGAAATTAGTGGAACGCTGGGGAGTTTTATTTCCCGCTAGCTATACTGGGGAGTGATACACTGTGAAATGTTTAAAAGAATGCTGACCCAGGCCGGGTGCAGTGGGCCACACCATAATCCCAGCACTCTGGGAAGCTGAGGCGGGAGGGTTGCTTGAGCCCAGGAGTTCAAGACCAGTCTGGGCAATACAGGGAGACCTCGTCTCTACCAAAATAATGAAAAAATTAACTGGACACGGTGGTGTACACCTATAGTCCCAGCTATTCTGGAGGCTGCAGTTGAAGGATTGCCTGAGCCCAGGAGGTGGAGGCTGTGGTGCACCATGATCGTACCACTGTACTCCAGCCTGGGTGACAGAGTGAGATCCTGACTCAAAAAAAAATATTGACCCAGAAGTGGGGAAATAGGGCAGTGTGGCTCCTCTGTGACACCCCTTTTGTCCAGATGACTCATTTTGTGGTTCATTCCTGGAAGTGCAGAGTTGCCGTCTTGTGGCACTCTTGGGGGCATGTGGGAGGCAACATTTACGAGGTCCTCAGGCATCTGCTGGGGCGTGATAGAGTCAGCTAAAGAGACATAAAGTTAGTATGACTTGACTGCCCTGGGGGATGTCACATCTCCCCCATCCCAACTGTGACCTCTCTTCTGAGCAGGGTTGGTTGCCATGGTCCCTGCTGCTTTTCTCTCTCACGTGTGAAACAAGCGCCTTCTATGTTCCTGGGGTCGCACCAATCAACTTCCACCAGAACAACCCTGTAGAAATCAAGGTAAGTGTGTTCCTGGACTGTTGATGCCTCTGTGCTAGGAGCCTGGGTAGAGAACTATGGTGAGCTGGTCGTGTCCATTCCAGACTGCAGAGAACAGAGAGTGGTGCCAAGTACCCTGGGGAGAGAAGCCTCACAGGCTGGAAGTGGAGTGCCCATGGGAGCCCCACATCCCAGACACTCTGCCTTGTTATCCTTCTCTCCTTGTGCCTCTGACTCTGGGTTCTCTCCCCATGCCAGGCTGTGTCTCTGGGTATGCCTGTGTTCATGCATACCTCTGTCCCTCCCCTCACTTTTGCTCTTGAGCATTCTCTGTCTCTCGTATGTTTGTATTCATCTTTCCTGCATCTTCTCTTGCTGTGCATCTCTTTGACCTCGCTGCTCCCCCTTTCATCAGCTCCATCCGCCTCTCTGTTCCAGGTTTCTCTGCATAGCTCACAGCATCTGCTCACGGTGTTCCTACATTGTGAGCGTCTCTCTTCCTTGGCAGTCAGACTTGCAGCTTGAAGAAGCAATCCTAAAAATAGCATTTATTGAGGATGATTTGCATGCAAGGCATTAATGCATAGCTTAGCTCAAGATGCCCCCAAGAGTCCTCTGGGGCTAATTCTATATGTTTTACAGATTTTACCTACACTTTACAGACGAGGAAACTGAGGCCAGGAAAGCAAGTCAGCACACCTAGGGACACAGAGCAAAGAAGACCTAGGATTAGTTCAGACCGTGTCTCTTAGCCGTGCAGCACCCTCTTTCCACTGCTGCTGCCATGAGCTCCCTCCAGAGCAGGGCTGCTGTGGCTTCCAGTCCTGCCTGGCTGAGGATGTGAAGGCGGAACCAGGAGTGGGGAGAGAGGGGGAGGGAAAAGCATGAAGGTGGGATTTATCTTTTGCAGTGATTGTCCGGAGAGTGTGTGCTAAGAAACACAAAATTGTTATCACAGACAATAACTTTATGGCCATTTTTCCTCAAGCAGTTCATGAAATGCTTAATAGAGGTTTTTAATCTCCTCAGTCTGACCTCCAGAAAACTCTCAAACCTGAAAAGTTTTTCCTCAGTTCATTGGAGGCAAGAGTTGTTCTGAACTGAGCACGAAGCTGTTTAGATACTTTTATTTTTTAATGTATTATTATTGTTATTATTAAAATCAGGGTCTTACTCTGTCACCCAGGCTGGAGTGCAGTGGCACAATCACAGCTTACCAGACTCAACCTTCTGGAGTCGGATGATCCTTCCACCTCAGCCTCCCAAGTAGCTGGGATTATAGGAGTATGCCACCATGTCCAGCTAATTTTTTCTATTTTTTGTAGAGATGAGGTCTCACTCTGTTGCCTAGGCTGGTCTCCAGCTCCCGGACTCACGCGATCCTCCTGCCTTGACCTTCCCAAGTACTGGGATTACAGGTGTGAGCCACCATGCCTGGCCTGTGTACTTTATTAATCCTACCTAGCATGACTACTTCTGCATGTCTCTGTAGAAATAGTCGTTGAATATGAGGTACTAGTCCAGACCTAGCCAGGGAATGTTTCAAAAACTCTGGCAGGAATACCACATTGCCCTTCAAAATCCAGAAAACTCCTAATTTCAAAGCAAGAGTTTTAAATAAGGGTTATAGACTTGGGTTCTAAAAATTATTTATACTTTTAGATGGTGTATAAGGAATGGTTATTAGTTCTTAAATAGTAAAGATATGGACTGAGTGTAGTGGCTCATGCCTGTAGTTCCAGAACTTTGGGAGGTCAAGGCAGGAGGCTCACTTGAGTGCAGGAGTTGGATGCCGGCCTGGGCAACATAGTGAGACCTTGGCTCTGTTTAAAAAAAAAAAAGTAAAGATAATTTTTGTTGCATTTAGATTAAGATGTTATTTTTTTGACATTTTCATGGGCTATATTTTTTCTGTAGTTTGGGGGTTTCCTGGGACTGCTGCCATTTCCAGACCTAGATTCTGTGTGCTTGTATCATTTCCTAAACATTCTCCTTCATTGTCTTTGTTTTGTTTTTGTTTTTGAGTCAGAGTCTCACTCTGTTGCCCAGGCTTAGTGTAGAGTACAGGGGGACTGTCCCGGCTCACCACAGCCTTGACCTCACAGACTCAGACAATCCCTCTGCCTCAGCCACCCAAGTTGCTGGGACTACAGATATGCGCCACCACTCATGGCTAATTTTTAAAGTTTCTTTGTAGAGACAAGGTCTCGCTATGTCGCCCAGGCTGCTCTTGAACTCCTGACCTCAAGCAATCCTTCCACCTCAGCCTCCCAAAGTGATGGTCTCATAGGTGTGAGCCACTGGCCTCCTCCTTCATTGTCTTAAACCTTTTTTTTTTTTTTTTAATTATTATTTTGACTTTTTTTTCCTTTCTTTTTTTGAGTTGGAGTCTCACTCTGTCGCCCAGACTGGAGTGCAGTGGCCGCTCCCGGCCACCGCAGCCTCGACCCGCTGGGCTTTGGCGATCCTTCCGCCTCAGCCTTCCAAGTAGCCAGAATTACAGGCATGTGCTACCACGTCTGGCTGTTTTTTTAATTTATTGTAGAGATGAGGTCTCGCTGCCCAAGCCGGTCTTAAACCCGCGGGCTCAGGCAATCCACTCACCTCAACCTCCCAAAGGCGCGGGATTACAGGCTGAGCCACCGAGCCCGGCTCTTTTTTTTTTGTTTTTTTTTGCTTTGTTTGTTTATTTTGCTTCCGAATTCTCCATTAAACTTTTTTTTCTTAAAAGTTGGAGTGTCACTCTTATCGCCCAGGCTGGAGTGCAGTGGCAAACTCATGGCCACTGCAGCCTCAACCAGCTGGGCTCAGGCAATCCTTCCACCTCAGCCTTCCAAGTAGCTGGAACTACAGGCACGTGCCACCATGCCCGGCTAATTTTTTGATTTATTGTAGAGATGAGGTCTCACTAAGTTGCCCAGGCTGGTCTCAAACTCGTGGACTCAGGCAATTCTCTCACCTTGGCCTCCCAAAGTGCTGGGATTACAGGTGTGAGCCACCATGCCCGGCCCTAAACTTTATTTTTTATTTTTTATTTTTTTGAGTTGGAGTATCACTCTGTCGCCCAGACTGGAGTACAGTGGCATGCTCCCGGCCACTGCAGCCTCGACCTGCTGGGCTCTGGTGATCCTTCTGCCTCAGCCTTCCAAGTAGCCGGAACTACAGGCGCACGCTACCACGCCCAGCTAATTTTTGATTTATTGTGGAGATGAGGTCTCACCAAGTTGCCCAGGCGGGTCTTGAACCCGCGGGCTCAGGCAATTCACTCACCTCGGCCTCCCAAAGTGCGGGATTACAGGCTGAGCCACTGAGCCTGGCTCTAAACTTTATTTTTAATGGCTTTACAGCATGTATTTGGATGACTATATAATAGCTTATTGAGCAATTTCTCATTGTAGAAGGTTTTGGTTGTTTTTCATTTTTCCTTCTTTCATTCAGCAAACACTTAATGAGCACCTACTTTGTGCCTAGCTCTAAGGCACAGGGGTTACAGGTGACCAAGTCACATATGGGCCTTGCTTTCAGGGAGCTTAAGTCTTAGATTCTAGTTGGTGGAACCTGATTTAAGGAAATAATAATAATTACATTTTATCAGACATGCTATGAAGGAAACAGTGTGGGAGTTGAGAACTTTCGAGCATTCTTCAGATCTGCTAGTTAGAGAAGGACTCCAGGTGAGCGACTGAGAGCTGAGAGCTGATGTGAGGAGCAGCTGGATATGCACGGGGAGGGAAGAAAAAGCAGCAAGCTCGAGGCTGTTTCTAACATTTTTTTCTCATTTAGAGTGATTTCCTTAGGAAAAATGCAAAAAAGTGAAATTATTGTGTCAGATGATAGCAGCGTTCTTTTTTTTTGAGTTGGAGTCTCACTCTGTCGCCCAGACTCAAGTGGAGTGGCCGCTCCCAGCCACTGCAGCCCCGACCGGCTGGACTCCGGCGATCCTTCCGCCTCAGCCTTCCAAGCTGGAACTACAGGCGCACGCTACCACGCCTGGCTAATTTTTGATTTATTGTAGAGATGAGGTCTCGCCTGCCCAGGCGGGTCTCGAACCCGCGGGCTCAGGCAATCCACTCACCTCAGCCTCCCAAAGGCGCGGGATTACAGGCTGAGCCACCGAGCCTGGCGATAGCAGCGTTCTTAAGACTCTCATTATATATTGGATTTGGTTGTGATTTTTAAACTAAATCTGTAATGCAGTCTAATGAAATGTGAATTAATTTAGAATTGCAGGCAGTACAGTAAATGTATGTAGACCATGGTCGTGCCTGCTATAACGCGTTTGCCTGGTAGAACTAAGGGTGTGTGGATGAGGAAATCACTGAAACAGTCGTCTTGGTTTCTCTTGGACGGTAGAACAGCAGGCTCTTTCTCCCTTCAGGCTGTGAAGCTCACCAGCTCCCGAACCCAGCTCCCTTACGAATACTACTCACTGCCCTTCTGCCAGCCCAGAAAAATCACCTACAAGGCAGAGAATCTGGGTAAGTTCTCTCACACTGCTGTCAACCTGTCCCCAGGAGGAATGCAGCATGATCTGTACAACTGTGCTAGTAGTTGACCTTGCTGTATGCCAGACACTCCTCTACCTGCTTGCTTGTTTCATCCTCTCAGCAGCCTGGGCATAGTCGCTGTGTTGACTCCTATTTTGCAAGTTAGGTGCCCTGCCTCTGGTTACATTGTCAGTTGGTGGCTAAGTGGACTTTGGTCCATATAGTCAGTCTCCAGAGTTGAAACTTCGGCTTCTACTCAGACCAGCTTTGCCTGGACTCTAGCTGTCTCCTCCTCTCTTGTGTTGGAAATGAGCCATTCCCACCCAGTATATCCTCTTCCGTGGTTTAATTTTAATTTCTAAACCTCAAGAAGTGACACCACCCTACTTGACTTGTGGCCCTGTTCCTCTCTCTATAGTCCCTCTCCTCGAGCAGGACCCTGTGACTGGAGAAGTAGGCAATAGGACAGGGTGTAGAGGACCGAGCCCAGGAGTTCAGCATTACTACAACTGCAACTCTATCCCTGTCTTCTCAGCTCTGTCACCTGTAAAATGCCCTTTCAGCAGTGGGTTCTAGAGACGTCCTGCTGTGTCCTTGCCCATCCCCGGGCACTCCAGCCCTGGGTTTTGCAGGCTCGCGTTGCCAGACTTTCCAACAGGGCAGAGGGGAAGGAGGCCTTCGTCCAGGCCCCTCTTCCCCTGCTTCCCCTTCCACTACACCATGGTGCCTCATCCACACTCAGAGCACCACTTTCCAGTGCTAGCCCCTACAGCGGGGCAGCTCATGGTCCCGCTGCTGGCCACTGTGTACCCATAGCTCACAGGTCATTTCTGCTCTGGCCTCTCCTCTCACCGTAAATCTTGACATCCATCTGCCCGCTTGAGATACCAAAACTGAAAGTGCCTTTGATCTACATTACTGCTCTATTTCCTACCTGGAACCTGGTGGTAGAAACCTCAGCATCTTCCTGACATGCACCACTCCTCACTCACCCCTGCGTCCATCCAGTCAGCACAGGGCTCCCAGACTCTCCTCCACCCTTACCTCCCTTTACTCTGGCCTCCAGCATCACTCACGGTGTGCCAGCCAGTTCCATGCAGCCTCCGTTTTCTTCACAAGACAGCCAGAGGGACCTTTCTGTAGCCAGGCTCAGATAACGTCTTCCCCTAATCTTCATTGGCCCTTGCTGCTTTCTAGATGAGGATCCAACTATGTGTGGCCCACAGGCCCTGAAGTCTACCTCCCTTGGCCATCTCTTCAGCTCATCCGAGTCACTGTCCTGAGCTGTCTGCATTATAGCCACACAGGCCTCTCAGGTTTACAGCTTCCCTACCCTCAAGGGGCCTTTGCACATACTGTCCCTTCTTGCCCCATCTCTTGGTCTAGTTAACTTCTCTCTCCCTTTAGTGCTCTCTTCAAGTGCCACTTCCTTACAGAAACTTGCCTAAACCAACTCCCCTATGTCTCTAGCAGGTTATGTCATATACTCTTGCTCTGCTGAATATTCAGTCAAAGTCTGTCTTCCCACTTGACTGTAAGCTCTCTGAGTATGTTGTTCCACTGTGTCTTCAGAGCCCAGCACATAGCCAGTACCCAGGATGTGTTTATGAATGAATGTCTTGACGACTAAGTAGGGGGTTTGTCAAGCATTGTCTTGCTGTGGACAAGTGTTAGACCAGATGTGAATGGAAGTGTTAGTCCTTCCTGTGGGCTGCAGTCAGGCTCCTTCGTCTTGCCCCAGTTTCACATTATCACAGTAGAATCGGATCAGTTGTTGAGCTGCTCAGCATGAAAGCCCCATTGGGTTTAGTGACAGTCCCTAACTGCTCAGCACCTGTCAACCTGCTGACATCTGGCAGCAGGTTACTGTGAGGCAGCAGGCACACACAAAGCATGCTGCTTCATCCTGTCAAAAGGTGTTTTTATCGTGCTGGATGTCACCCCACCTCCCTACCTGAACCAGGATCTGAAGAGATAAATAGGAGCAGTTTGCCCCTAAAGTACTCCTAGGCAGGAGGGGATCTGGAAACAGAAACCAATCAGCACAGTGCCCCAGGTAGCATCCCTGACGTCTATGAGGTGCTGAGGATAGAGATAGCTGCGGCCCACCCACTCTCTGCCCGGTGCTGTACTCAGGTTAACTACTTTATTTCTCATCATAACCCATGAGGTAGATGCTATTATTATCCCATGTTACGGATGAGGACTTTGAGGCCCTGTGAGACTGAGTGACTTACCAAGACTGCCAGGCAAGTGAGTGGCAGAGGCAGGATCAGTAGCAGGCAGTCTGGAGTCAGACCCTTCTCTCTGCACTGCCCAGTGCTGCCTCCACACAGAGGGAGGTCAGAGGAGGGAGTGACTCGCCTTTCTGAAGGAGCCAGGAAGGGCTTCCTAGAGAGGAGTGGAAGCTGAGCTTGCAGCCAGACGCATGGGCCAGGGAATGGCACTCCAGGCCGAGGAAGTGCCTGAGGCCCAGAGGCATGGAGGGGTATGATGTTTGGAAGAGTATAGTTTGATGAGCACTTTGGGGTCTGGTGGCACGAGAGTACAGAGGAGGAAGGTGACAGGTGAGGGTGAGCTGGGCCTGAATGGATAGGGAAGGGTGTTGATTGCCAGGCTGGGGCACTGCTGAAGTCCTTGGAAGTCCATTCTGCCTTGCAGTCCTGTGTTCTCTGTGACTCTGTGACCTCAGCAACCTCAAGGCGGAAGCTCTGAGCTCCATCTGTCTCTCTTATGGCAGGAGAGGTGCTGAGAGGGGACCGGATTGTCAACACCCCTTTCCAGGTTCTCATGAACAGCGAGAAGAAGTGTGAAGTTCTGTGCAGCCGGTCCAATAATCCAATGACCCTGACTGTGGAGCAGAGCCGACTGGTGGCAGAGCGGATCACAGAAGACTACTATGTCCACCTGTAAGTTGTCCTCTGCTCCCTGCTGGCCTCGCTTTCACACTGGGAGGGTGCTAACAGGAAAGGCAGTCCAGGGGGACTGAGCAGGCCTTGGGTTCCAGCATTGCCGACAACCTGCCTGTGGCCACCCGGCTGGAGCTCTACTCCAACCGAGACAGCGAAGACAAAAAGAAGGAAAAGGATGTGCAGTTTGAACATGGCTACCGGCTCGGCTTCACAGATGTCAACAAGGTGAGTGTCTTTGTTGTGCTCACAGGGCTGGGGAGCCGTGCCTCACAAGTCACCAGCACTTGGGGCCCTGAGAAGAGGGAGACATTCAGCTCTAGGCCCATAGCACAGGAATGGTGGGGATCAGCCAAGGCAGTTTTTCCGCGTCCCTGGGAATGACAGTCTGTTCAGTTTCTGAGTGCTCTGGATAAGGCCCTGGTAAATGCCACAAGGAGGTGAAGGCAAAGTCCCTAAAATGTCAGCTTCCATTTTTATAGGATTTAAAAAACAAAACCTGGAACTTCATCAGTCTGTAAGAGAGAGGGCTGAGTAGTGGCCAAGACGCATAGGCTCCCTGGGTTTAAGTCTTGCCTCTGCCACTTACTGGTGCTTACCGGTGTCTGAGTGACCTTGACCCTGTGATTTCTTAGCTGTAAAGTGTCTATGATGATAATAGCTGCCCTCTGGGGATGTTATTCAGAGTAAATTTGATCATCTGTGTGAGGACTTCACAGCACAGCCCCTGAGAATAGACTGATAATGACAACATTTAGAACCATCATTCTCTTGACTTACCTTTCTGACTTTCTAAACTGGACATATATTACTTAGGGAATAAAAGAAACATTTCTTTTGAGAAACAACCCCTGTCTTCAAAAGGTTTGTGTCCTAACAATGAAGATAATTGACAGTGTCAGACTCGGAATCTTTTTTTTTTTTTTGAGTTGGTGTCTTGCTCTGTCACTCAGGCTAGAGTGCATTGGCATGCTCACAGCCACTGCAGCCTTGACCTGCTGGACTCAGGTGATCCTTCTGCCTCAACCTTCCAAGTTGCTGGAACTATAGGCATGCTCCACCATGCCCAACTAAGTTTTTGATTTATTGCTGAGTCAAGGTCTCACCAGGTTTCTCAGGCTGGTCTCGAGCCCATGGGCTCAGGCAGTCCTCTTGCCTCTGCCTTCCAAAGTGCTGGGATTACAGGCATGAGCCATTGTGCCCAGCTGAGGCCCTGAATCTTAAGGTCCATTTGCCTTCTACTGATTGTCAGTGCCCGAGGAGTTCAGTGGGAGCTCGGTGTGCACTCAGGTTGTCACAAGGAGGTGGGCTTTGAAAAATAGGTCGCCTTTTGCTGAGTGAAGCTGGGGATGGCTTTCTAGTTGGAGTGAGTGCCATAAACAGAGATGCAGGGTAGGGACTGTTCATGGGAGTACAGAGTGCTGGGTGGCCAGGTAAAGTAATGTGACTTAGAAGATAATAACCAGGTGTATCAGGGTTAGATGGTAAAAGACCTTGAATACCAGGCTAAGAAAATTGGGCTTTTATCTGATAAGCCCCAGAGAGCTCTTGGGAGTTTCCAAGCAGAGGAGTGTAGTGATGAGAAGAGTATTTGGAAGATTGGTACAACCAGGCATACTAAACGAAGAGAGGTACCTGATAACCTGGTGGTCTTCCTGAGTGGGTTTCTGGTTATTTCTTGGCTTCTAGCCGTCTTGTTCTTTCTGTTGCTCTATTTTAGATCTACCTGCACAATCACCTCTCGTTTATCCTTTACTACCATCGGGAGGACATGGAAGAGGACCAGGAGCACACATACCGTGTCGTCCGCTTCGAGGTGATTCCCCAGAGCATCAGGCTGGAGGGTGAGTGGGGAGGTATGATGATTAGAGGGGCAGGGCTGGAGGGGCCTGACTTCCACACCCAGGATTTCTCATGCTTCTCACTCCTGAGCTGGCTGATGGGCTCGGGTGTGGCGTAGGGTTCCAGCCAAGGTAGGGTCCCAGTATTCCCATTAGAGAAGGTAGAGGTAAGGGGAGAGCTGACATCTGGGTTGCCGACTGGGCACCTGATGAGTGTACCCTCAGCGGCAGCACCAGGAGGTGTGTGGCGATTACAGATGAGGAAACAGAGACTTAGAGAGATGAGAGTTGCCTGAACCGAGCTGCAAGTTGGCACTTCGTTGGGCCTCACAGGAACCAGCCCGCTCACCCTGGGCTGAAGCAGAGGGGCAACGGTCCAGACAGAGTTGTGGGCAGTGAGTTTCTTTGTTTCTCTGCCTCTGTGTGATTAGCATAGACCAAAACCTGCCCAGAGTCAACACTTATCAGGAGTTTGAGAGCCCAACCAATCCTGTAGGGCTGCCTGGGACAGGCTTTACCTGTCAACCCCTCGATCACCATGCATGCTTTTTACTGAAGCACAGGCCTGCCTTTTGTCTATGGTGGTGGCCTTCTGGGGTTTTTTTTTAAGCTGTGAAATCCAGGGGGGATGACTAAACGCCTGTAACCCCAGCCACTTTGGGAGGCTGAGGCAAGAGGATTGCCTAAGCCCACCGGTTCGAGACCAGCCTGGGCAACATGGCGAGACCTTGTCTCCACAGTAAATCAAAAAATTAGCCAGACATGGTGGCTCATGCCTGTAGTTCCAGCTACCTTGAAGACTGAGCCAGAAGGATTGCCTGAGCCCAGCAGGTTGAGGCTACAGTGAGCATGCCACTGCACACCAGCCTGGGCGACAGAGTGAGACTCTGACTCAAAGAAAAAAAAAAAAGCTGTGGAACCTGATTTTCAAACAAAATCTACACAAGTCCCAAGCACAGACCCTGTACTCTAAGCTCGCCACACTGCATCTCCTGCTGCGAGTGTTCGGAGCACAGTACTGTGTTTATGTGTGATTGTCTTGAGTCATCTTCTACCCCACTGGCTTTTCGAGCTGGAGTCTCTGTCTCTTGTTCCCACCATATTTGTCTCCAGCACTCAGCATAGTACCTGGCACGTACTTGGTCTGTTAGTTTGATGAATAGCCAGATGACAGGTAAACAAATGAGTAAGTGAAGAGAGAGATCATCTCAGTGATTGGATTACAAAGTGCAGGGGCTTTGGGGATGGACTAAACCAATGAGTGAACATCGTGGGACCATTGTGTTGTGTGTTGAATGGGACTGACTGAATGAGGGAGTGAATGTTTGAATTGAGTGAAGGGGCTGGGCCTAGTGGCTCACACCTGTAATCTCAGCACTTTGGGAGAATCACTTGAGGCCAGGAGTTCAAGACCAGCCTGGGCAACATAAGAAGACCCCCGTCTCTACAAGAAAATCAAAAAATTAGCCAGGTGTAGTGGTACATGCCTGTGAACCCAACTACTCTGGAGGCTGAGGCGAGAGAATTGCGTGAACCCAAGAGTTTGAGGCTGCAGTGAGCCATGATCACACCACTGTGCTCCAGCCTGGGTGACAGAGTGAGACCCTATCTCCAGAAAAAAAAAAAAAGGAGGGAGTCTCATGCTCACATCCTCCCCCAGCTCCATCTCTCATCCTCCTGTCCCACCCCCTCTCTGCAGCCCCCAAGGTCAGGGCTCCAGGGAATATAATTCTTTTTTTTTGAGTTAGAGTCTCACTCGGTCGCCCAGACTGGAGTGCAGTGGCCACTTTCGGCTACCGCAGCCTCGCCTCCTGGGCTCTGGCGATCCTTCCACCTCAGCCTTCCAAGTAGCCGGAATTACAGGCATGTGCTACCACGCCCAGCTGATTTTTTTTTTGGATTTATTGTAGAGATGAGGTCTCGCTGCCCAGGCAGGTCTCAAACCCGCAGGCTCAGGCAATCCACTCACCTCAGCCTCCCAAAGGCATGGGATTACAGCCTGAGCCACCGAGCCCGGCTGGAACATAATTCTTAAAACCCACTGTAGCCCACTGGGCTCCCAACCTCCACTCTGACCTGTAGGCTGAGTACAGCAGGAAGCCTCAGGGGCACCCCTGGAACAGCCCTTGGTAGTGGCCCTGGTCACTGCAGGAGCTGACCGAGTCTCTGTCTCTCTCAGACCTCAGAGTGGATGAGAAGGGCTCCTGCACCCTGCCCGAGGGCTCCAGCTCCTCACCCCAAGAGATCGACCCTGCCAAGGAGAACCAGCTATACTTCACCTACTCCGTGCACTGGGAGGTGAGGAAGGCTGGAGCTCCTGGGTGGTGAGGGGATGAGGGGCTCTTGGGCAGAAGGCTGACTCTGATCCAAGTGCTTCCTCGCACCTGCCAGGAAAGCGATATCAAATGGGCCTCGCGCTGGGACACCTACCTGACCATGAGTGACGTGCAGATCCACTGGTTTTCCATCATTAACTCTGTCGTGGTGGTCTTTTTCCTGTCAGGTGAGAGGTCTGGGGGCTGATGGGTGGAGATGACAAGTGGGGATTGAGGGTCTGGGCGGTACATCACCATGAGGGACGTCTGGTGTTCTCAGGCCAGTGTGAGTCAAAAATAGGACATGAGGCCAGACGCAGCAGCTCATGCCTGTCATCCCAGCACTTGGGGAGACTGGATGGGAGGATCATTTGACTCCAGGCATTCAAGACCAGCCTTGGCAACATAGCAAGCCCTCATTTCTAAAAAAAAATCCAAAAATTAACCAGGTGTGGTGTTATACACTTTTAGACCCAGCTACTCGGGAGGCTGAGGTGGAAGGATCCCCTGGGACCAGTAGTTCAAGGCTTCGGTAAGCCATGAGTGTGCCACTGCACTCCAGTCTGAGCAACAGAATGAGATCTGACTCAAAAAAAAAAGAAAAAAAAGCCCAGACATCAGGGCTCTGCTAGGTGTCCGGTGTACATAGGGAAACAAGTTCTCGCTCAGTTTCTAGAGAGCTCTACAACTCTGGAGAGCTCACTAGTGGAAGACAGATATACCCATTCATGCACACATTCATTGATTAATTCAATAAGACTTTGTTGTTGCTCATTCTGTGCCAGAATCTATGCCCGGTGTTGGGGATTTGGTGGTAAGCCAGCCCACCCAGCCTCTGCCCTCTCAGAGTCTGTATTCCAGTGATGGGGAAAACAAAAAAGCAAGTAGGTAGTGGAGTTCCAGACAGTGATGAGTGCTATTAAGCTGATAACAGGATGACCAGATATATGACAGCCAGGGCAAGTGTGAAGGCTACTTTGGGGAAATCTCTGAAAATAGGAGGAGCCATCATTCAGAGACCTGAGGAGGGACTGCCAGTGAAGTCATGGCCCTGCAGTGAGATGAGCTTGGCAGGAGATCAGGAGGCAAGAGGGTGGTGGGCAGAAGCAGAATGACACTGACAGTTTCAGTATCAAATGAGAAGTGAGAGCTGGCTACTGTTTCTTAAACAGTTACCAAGTGACCAGCTGCTGTTTTACACACTTTAAAATATCTCGGGCCTTGGGGCCCCATGAGCTAAGTGGAAAAACGCTACGTGAGCTCAGGGTCATACACCCCATTTTCTTGGCCACCTCATTGTTGCCTAGAGAGAGAACAGAGAAGTACAAATGGTGTTAGCAGGGAGCATCTCTGTATAGTTTGGGGTGTTGAGCAGTGCAGATACCAGGGGAGTTGTGAAGCATAAGTAGGAGTTCAGCATGGCATGATGGGACATTCTGGGCAAGTGAATAGCCAGAGCAGAGGTGTGGAGGTGAGGTGATGGGGCTGTGAACTGATAACTAAACGCAGCGGATAACCAGAGATAGAGGGAGAGGCTAGCCTGAAGGAGTTGACTCTGGAAGTCAGTAGGCCCTCACCTCGAGAGAGCTGGGATGCTTTTCTCCCTGGAATGAAAGACTGGGTCCTGTGGCTGCTGCCAGCTACCCAGCAGCCCCTTTCCCTTCTTCCTCCCCTGAGAGTGACCCTCTGGCACTCTTCCCTGAGTGGCTGGAGTGGAGCTCTGCCCAGAAGAGGACTTGAGGAGGCTGCATCCTGTTGCCACAAGCCACCCATGGCAGCTGTTACACAGCTGGAAGCACCAAGTCCAGGAGGGCACGGAGCACAGAAGGTGGTGGTTTCGCCAGCTCCTCCTCCTCACCCCGTCTGTTTCAGGCATCCTGAGCATGATTATCATTCGGACCCTCCGGAAGGACATCGCCAACTATAACAAGGAGGATGACATTGTACGAGGTCTTGGCTGGGGAGGGAGGGACTTGGAGAGGGAGGGTAGTCTAGCGTAGGGCTCGGGGCCTACCAGAGAGGAGGGGTGTGTGTGTGTGTGTGTACATGTGCATGTGATCATTCACAGGGGAAACCTCAAAAATACTGAGAAGGACATTAGGCGTGATGGCTCATGCCTGTAATCCCACCACTTTGGGAGGCCAAGGCAGAAGGATAGCTTGAGACCAGGAGTTTGAGACCAGCCTGGGCAACATAATGAGACCCTGTCCCTAAAAAAAGTTTAAAAAAAAAGAAAAATAGGGAAACCCCTTTGGATCCCCTCCACTGAGGGAACTTTTCTGTCCTCTCAATAAATACTGCTTTCTCAAAAAGAAAAAAGAAAAATACTGAAAGGGAGGGGAAAAATTGAACTTGCCCAAAGTGATGAGGATGGGGCTTTCTCATTTCAGAGAAAGGAGTAATGGAAGAAGTTACAGAAAGATTGATGTATTTGACATTCAAAAGAAATTTTTTTTTTTTTTTGAGTCGGAGTCTCACTCTGTTGCCCAGACTGGAGTGCAGTGGCCCCTCCCAGCCACCGCAGCCTCACCTGCTGGGCTCCAGTGATCCTTCCACCTCAGCCTTCTGAGTAGCCAGAATTACAGACAAGCGCTACCACACCCAGCTGATTTTTTGATTTATTGTAGAGATGAGGTCTCACTGCCCAGGTGGGTCTCGAACCCGCGGGCTCAGGCAATCCATTTACCTCAGCCTCCCAAAGGCGCAGGATTACAGGCTGAGCCACCGAACCCAGCTTCAAAAATTTTTTAACTATTCTGCATGTCAGATACATAAAATAGAAAAATAAAGTGGTAAAACAATATTTGCAACAAATTTGAAAAAAAGTGGTACAGTAGAAAGCATTTGTATAAAATCTCTTTTAAAAACCTAAAATACCTAATGTAATGATGAACTAGGAAATTTACAGACAAGAAACTGCGCATAGACAATAAGCATGTGAAAAACTGTTTTTACCTCAGGAATGACCCCAAGAATGCAGGTTCAAACAGTCATAAGAAGATAGTTCTGACCAGGCACAGTGGCTCACGCCTGTTATCCCAGCACTTTGGGAGGCGGAGACAAGAGGATTGCCTGAGCGCAGGGGGTTGTAACCAGCCTGGACAACTTAGGGAGACCTTGTCTCTACAGTAAATTAAAAAATCAGCCGGGCATGATGGCACATGGCTGTGGTTCCAGCTACTTGGAAGGCTGAGGCGGTAGAATCACCTGAGCCCAGCAGATTAAGGCTGCGGTGGCTATGAGCGTGCCACTGCACTCTAGCCTGAACGACAGAGTGAGACTCCAACTCAAAAAAAAAAAAAGATAGTTCTTAGCCCTCAACTAGCCCAAAGCTTGTTGGCAAGATTAACGTGAGACAGGCATCTTCCCATACCACCCATGGAAATATAAATTGGCAGTCTTCTGAAAAGTGTGCCAGGTACGGTGTGCAGTGGCTCACACCTGCAATTTCAGCACTCTGGGCGGCTGAGATGGGAGGATTGCTTGAGCCCAGGAGTTTAAGACCAGACTAGGCAACGTGGCAAGACCTCGTCTCTACCCCAAAAAAAGAAAAATATCAAAATATTAACCAGGCATGGTGGTAAACACCTGTAGTCCCAGCTACGCAGGAGACTGAGGTGGAAGGATTGCCTGAGCCCAGGAGGTCAAGGCTATGGTGGGCCATGACCATGCCACTGTACATCAGCCTGGGCAGCAGAGTGAAACCCCCAACTCGAAAAACAAACTCGCTTTTATACAGAAATTCTTCTAGAATTTTCCTAAGGAAAGATGAAAAAAAATACAAAGACTTGGTCTAGAAATACTACAGCTTTGAAATACAATGTCAAAGATTATTTATTGACATGAGGTAATGCTTACAATCAAATATCAACTAAAAATAATGAAATACATAGTATGACCCTAATTACATTGTTTAAGACGTACATATACATATATACATGCATAGAAGACTGAAGAAAATCTATCAAGACAGTGATATCTTTAAGTGGGCATATAAATCTTTTATATCTTTCTGTTTAAACTTTTTCTGTAATAAACATTTATTGCTTTTTGTTCATTTGAATGTCTAATTTTTAATTTTTTTATTACACAAATAAGGATCCATATTTCTTGTATTTATTTTGAGTTGGAGTCTCATTCTGTTGCCTGGTCTGGAGTACAGTGGCACACTTAGGGCTACCTCAGCCTCAACCTGCTGGACTCAAGTGTTCCTTCCTCCTCAGTCTTCCAAGTAGCTAGGACTTAGGTGTGTGCCACCATGCCTGACTAATTTTTTTATTTTGTTGTAGAGACATGGTCTCACCATGTTGCCCAGGCTGGTCCTGAACTCCTGGGCTCAGGCAATCCTCTCGCCTTGGCCTCCCAAAGTGCTGGTATTGCAGGTGTGAGCCACCATACCTGGCCCATATTTCTTTTATAATAAAAAATAAATAAGTTGGCCAGGTATGGTGGCTTATCCTCCAGCACTTTGGGAGGCCAAGGCAAGAGGATTACCTGAGCCCAGGGGTTCAAGAGCAGCCTGGGCAACTTGGTGAGACTTCGTCTCTACAATAAATCAAAAAATAAGCTGGACTTGGTGGCATGTGCCTATAGGTCACCTACTTGGAAGGCTGAGGCAGAAGGATCGCCTAAGCCCAGCAGGTCTTGAGTGTGTCACTGCACTCCAGCCTGGGCGAAAGAGTGAGATTCTGAATAGATAGGTAGGTAGGTAGGTGCACTCCAGCCTGGGTGAAAGAGTGAGACTCAGTTGATAGATAGATAGGTGGGTAGGTGGGTAGGTAGGTAGGAAGGTAGGTAGAAAGATAGAAAGTTACTTCTAAATCTCCCACCCAAGAGCTATTACAGTTAACAGTCTAGTGTGTCCATGTATCTACATTATTTTCCCATGCCCTAGGTTTGTGGAATTGGGAGGTTTTCTTTTTATGCAGCTACAGGCATGTTTGTGGCCCCCTTTTCCCATCGACAGTTCATGGAGAAGCACTTCCTCATATTACTTTTGCAGTGCTAAGTCAGGGCAGAGCAGAGCTGGTTGACATCTGAAGGGCGCTCAGCCAGGGTTGGGGCCTGGGTCCCTGGGGTGGGCCCCACAGGAGCTGCTTTCATCCTCAAGAACCAGCCTCTCTCTTGGGTCTTTGCTGTAGGAAGATACCATGGAGGAGTCTGGGTGGAAGCTGGTGCATGGTGACGTCTTCAGGCCCCCCCAGTATCCCATGATCCTCAGCTCCCTGTTGGGCTCAGGCATCCAGCTCTTCTGTATGATCCTCATCGTCATCTGTGAGTAGGCCCGCAGGACTGGGTGTGGGGCCTGGCTCTGAGACCTGGTGCCTCTTCTGTGCGCCTCAGGAAGAGAATGGTGGGCTTCCCTCCCTAGAGAAGGGGGTCACGCTCTTGGCACCAGGTGGGCATCCCTCCCTGCTGCAGCCCTACCATGTTCACTCCATCAGCGAAGCCACACATCGCTGCTGTGAGGTTGGTCCCCTTTCATAGTCAGAGGTTGAGTGGTTTACCCAAAGTCAGTAGCAGGATTGTAATCGGGTCTTTTTTCTTTAACAAAAAACCCCCTCTCATTTAAGTAGTTTAGACAGCTCTGGAGTCAGTTTGCCTATCTTTATATCTCAGCCTCATGCCTCCAAGCCTTGTGACCTTGCACAAGACAGTTGATCTCTGTGAGCCTCAGTTTCCTTGTTTGAAAAATGGGGAACCTAAGCTCCACCTTGCAGAACTGAGGAGGCAGATTCTGTGAACTGGCATTCATAAAGCTCTTGGCTCTGTGCGTGGCGCCCTGCAAGCGCTCTGTGGCCTGGAAGATTGGCCCAGCCAAGGCCTAGCACCTGCTTCACACCTGAACCCCAGCTGAGGCCCAGCCTTCTGCAGAGGGGAAGGTCCCAGTTCAAAAGGGAGCCTCATCTAGCCCATCCGCCAGGGTCCTGTCAGCCTGCCCGAGGTGGGGGCTGGGGACTGAGAGGGCCTGGCAATCAGCCACCCTGCTTTTCTCTGCCCTCCTCCCTCCACAGTCGTGGCCATGCTTGGGATGCTGTCGCCCTCCAGCCGGGGAGCTCTCATGACTACAGCCTGCTTCCTCTTCATGTTTATGGGGTAGGTGTGTCTGAGTGGGTCCCCGCGGGTGACTCAGGCCCCCCGCTGCAGCTAACAGTCCCCTTGGTGTGGCCCCTGCTGTCTCCCCACAGGGTGTTCGGTGGATTTTCTGCCGGCCGTCTGTACCGCACTCTGAAAGGCCACAGGTGGAAGAAAGGAGCCTTTTGTGTAAGTGTCCTAAACCTTCCCTGTTGGTGAGGAGCTGAGGAGCTTCCGCAGGCGCTCCCAGGAAAAACATAGGCAGTCCCTTGGGGGGATTTCAGGCCAGATGCTGAGTGGCAGCGTGTCATGCAGCAGGCGGACCATGGCCCAGAGGTCAAGAATATGGGGCTCTTACCCACAGGCTTGTAGCAGGACCTCTTAGGACCTCAGCTGCCCTGTCTGTGGATTTAAATTTGGGTAATTTTTAGCCTACATTATCTATGGCTCAAGCAAGAGAAGAAATAGGGATTTAGAATGGCAGGATTTAGAGTAGCAGGGCGCTGTGAGAACACCCTGGCCAACAGGAAGGAGGGACCTGCCCGCGAAGGCAGAAGAGGCTAGGTCCCCGTTACCATCGCCTGTTTGCAGGCTTGATCACCTCCCGTCCTCTCCACTGAGGACGGTGCCTGCCCTTCCACGTCCTCCTGGAGTTACGTTAGGAGAGATCTTGGCAACAGAAAAGATTGTAGGCACCGGAGGGGGTCTGGGGTCGACCTCGCCTCCCAGGGAGCCCTGGCCCCTTCTTCTAGAGCAAGTGAGTCTGGTAAGAGGACTGGGAACCCTTGGGTGCCCACACTCAGAAAAGCATTGTGAAGAAGCATTGTGAAGCCATTCTCACAGCCAGCAAGGGCTCAAGAGGAGCTCAGGCTGTTGGCGCTGCCTGTTACACTTCTGACGCTTAGTGTGCTCTCAGTGAAGCAACGCAGTGCTCATGATCATTCTGGAAGGTGGAGAGGGAGCTTCCTAAATTTTTAAAAATGTATTTTACAATTTAATAAATAGCTCTCCAAGCCGGGCTCAGTGGTTCAGCCTGTAATCTCGCACTTTGGGAGGCTGAGGTGAGTGAATTGCCTGAGCCCGCGGGTTCGAGACCCGCCTGGGTAACTTGGCGAGACCTCATCTCTACAATAAATAAAAAAATTAGCCGGACGTGGTAGTGCGCGCCTGTAGTTCCAGCTACTTGGAAGGCTGAGGCAGAAGGATTGCCGGAACCCAGCAGGTCAAGGTTGTGGTGGCCGGGAGCGGCCACTGCACTCCAGTCTGGGCGACAGAGTGAGACTCCAACTCAAAAAATAAAATAAAATAAAATAAAATAAAAAAATAAATAAATAGCTCTCCTGGTGATTGCACACACATAAGGCTGTTTGGCAGTATTCAGAAACATCCCAGTAATGGTGTCTGTCCCGATTAGTGTGTAGTCTTCAGTAATTATAAGTTACTTGTATGAAACTGCTGTCAAACCAGTAAGACTACATTTGTGCATCCTTCATTTTCAGAATTGTTGATCACCTGGGCATATTTCTCCCAAATAACCTTGCCTCTTCCCCCATGACAGCAACTTTGATTGTATATGTGCAGTTGTGATTAATGGGGTGAGGGATTCTTCACAGTAAGCATTGTCAGGTAGAAGGTGACTGTTGGTTCAGGCTGTGTTGCACAGGCTTTCTTGAAACGACAGCCACTGGCTAATGAATCTTTCACATTGAGGTGGTTTCTCATCAAACCATCTCCCACAAAGCCGACTTTAGTAACCATCCTCTGTTAAACGTGTGGATAGATAAGCAAATGAACAAAGGTACTGACTGTCCTCTGCCATGCCTTCTTCTTTTTCTTTCCTGCTCCAACAACTTTTGATACTTTGGAGTGTTTTCCTGGGCACAAACTTTGGATAGAGAGGGTTCCCATCTCTTGATTTTTCTTTTGTTTTTGTTTACTAATTGGAAGGTGCTGCAGCTCAGGGCTGTCCCTCTCTGTCCAGCAGATGGACAGATGCTGCTCCCTGTGGAGTTACCATCATTCTTTTCTTGCTATTTCTTTTTCATATATCTTGGTCACCACCTTCATTTGTATTTTCTCCGGATGGCACTGTCTATAGTAGAACTAGGCCTTTAGACTCTTCATCTTTGCCTTCCTTGAACATTCATGGGCTTCTTGAAGCAACATCCACAGCATTTATAGTGTAATCTAGTATACTCAAATATGTGGCATGGTGATGGGCAGAGAGCCTCTGGGTGCGAAGAAGCTCTCAATTTTCATGAATCATACATAAACCTGTGAGCTAACTTCACACAGGCTGTGACAGGAAAAGGCTGCTTTTTTCCCCTGAATTCTTGATGATGCAAGCATTTTTCTCAGGCTACTGTGTGCCAAGAACCAGGGCTCTCTAGTAAAATCCATCACTCCCCACCCCCATATTCCCACCCCCAACCCCCGCAAGGTCTCCCTCCAGATGTTCAGCAGGTCTCACATCAAGCCTAGTTTCTTCCCCAGAACCACCCCCTGCCTCCATTCAATCCCCCAAGCCAGAAACCTGGGGAGCTGCCTTCTTCCTCCTCCTCCTCCCTCCATCCTTGCTTATTCTCAGATGTCAAACGTCAAGGGCTTTTCTACCAAATGTCCCACCTCTCCATCTCCAAGCTCTGGCCCAGATTCAGGTATCTTTGCCTCTTACTTGCAAGATCCTGGCCCTCCGTGGTCTCCATACAGATTCTGACACTTCCCTGGTACTTCTCCACCGGTGGGGAGTGGGGGATACGTCTTAGCAGCCTGCAGGGGATATATGACTGCCCTTCTCTCCTCTGGCCTTACCTGCGCCATCCCTTCTGCCCAGGTCACACCACCCTTCTCACCTGGCTGGTGTCACTTTATCCTTAAGCTCCAGCATCATTCCTAGTGGCCACCTCCTTCTCCACCCTCTCCCCCGATTTTGACCTCAGTGTCCTCCTTGGTGCCTGGGCAGGACCTTGGTGAGAGCTAAGTAGTACTTGGCAGAGCTAAGTAGTGCCATGTATGTTCTTCACATATGGGGGTCTGGCTTCGTCCCTGGAACTTTTTTCCTGTTTGTACCCATGGTACCTAGCACAATGCCCAGTCAGGAAGTTTCAGCCAGGGGCCAGGCATGGTGGCTCACACCTGTGATCCCAGCACTTAGGGAGGCTGAGGAGGGAGGATCACTTGAGCCCAGGGGTGTGGGGCTGCAGTGAGCTGTGATTGTGCCTTTGCACTCCAGTCTGGGCAACAGAGACCCTGTCTCTAAAAAATAAATAAATAAATGTCAACCGGAAGGCAGATGAGGAAGAATTTCCTACTGCACAGCAGAGTAAAGCAGGAGCACAAAGGGAGGAAGTGAGTTTGAGCTGTGCCTTGAAGAGGAGTTCAAAAGGAGGGAGGCAGTCGAGGGGCCTCACGTGCTGGAGTCGTCCCAGTCCTGGCTCTGTTCCCTCCTTGGTTGAGAACATCCCTCAGCTCTCTGAGCCTTAGTTTCCCCATCTTGCCGGGGGGATAGCTACATCTGCCTCTCAGGGTTGCTGTATGGATGGAAAGAGACCGTGCACAGAAGGCCCTTGGTGCAGCATTAGCACTCGGTGAGGGAAGCGGACACCCTATGGCATCGCTGATCCGCATGAAGGTCCGGGGACAGGAGTGTGCCAGAGCAGTGACCAGGCATTGGGTACGAGGGGCAGTGGGCCTGGCAGTGCAGGCTGAGGGCCAGGTTGCAAAGGGCCTTGATCATTGTGGTCAGTGACCTGCCTGGATGCTCGGTCCACCACAGCCATCTCTGGCCTGGCGGTCACAGTGTGGCAAGAAGGAGGGTCCACTGTAAGTCTGGGACTTTGGGTCCCTGTGCCTGGACTCAAGAGATGCTGGCTGAATGCAGAGATTCTGACTGAAGGGCATGGGCTCTGGGGACAGGCTGCCTGGGTTTGTACTTCTGCCCTTAACAGAGCATGTGAAGTTGGGGGAAGGGTCTTCCACCCTGCTGGTCCTCATTGTCCTCATGAAATGGGATGATGCTAGTTCTCCCCCTCTAGACCTGCAGTGAAAATTAGGTGAGATGATGTGTGTACAGCCCAGCATATGCCGTCCCTAAGACTAAGTTAAAGCTTAACCACCCTTTTAAGTGGTTTGGATTGGGGCCCAGACATATGTGTTTTGTAAGTTTTATTCATTCACTTGCTCAGCAGACACTTCTTGAGTAGCTACTGTGTTCTCAGTGGTGGGAGTACCTCAGAGAACAAGGTAGACATACCCTCCCAAGGAGCCTAGCCTACTAGGGACAGACAGGCAGATGTTGGTCAGGTGGCACAAACGCGTAATTTCACACTAGGATGAGAGCAAGGAGGGGGTAGTTTCAAGGACCTAAGAGGGCATAGAGCGGGGGCCTGCCTACTCTGAGGGTTAGGGGATGTTTTCTGGTGGGGAAATGATACTTGAGCTAAGACCTAAGGACGAGGAGGCATTGAGAACTCCTGGTCTGGGAGCTGCACCAGGGCAGGTGGGAGCTCCCTGGACGCAGCTCCTCAACCAGCCCTCTTGCTTCCAGACGGCGACGCTATACCCTGGTGTGGTCTTTGGCATCTGCTTCATATTGAATTGCTTCATCTGGGGAAAACACTCATCAGGAGCCGTAAGTACCCCCCTCCACCCAGTCCCTCCCCAGCAAGGGAGGCCCACTGTGCTCAGCCCACTCCCAAAGACCACTTCCTGCTGCTCCCTTCCCTTTTCTGAGTCCCCAGAGTTCTGTTCTCAGCCCTAAGGGCTGAGGTCTGGCTGGGGTTTTCCCCGTCCTGCCCATCCTCTGCCCATGCCCTGGCCCTGGCCTTCCTGAGTGCTCTTTCAGACAATTGGCCAAAACTCACTTCCCTAAAGGGAGGTTTCCATAGTCCAGGGGCGAACTGGGTAATTTCCCATTGTCTTAACCAAGAAAGAGTTGCCTAGTGTGAGTATGTAAGGCCAGTATCCCAAAACAAGGCTGTCCTCATGTGTCCTGCCTTCAGCACCAGCCCCCGCAGGAAGAGGAAGAGAAAGGGGAAAGTGAGGTTGTATTCCCCTTAGAGTGGGGACCCTGCCAGGCCCGGTCCAGGACGTTGCTGGCTTCTGCCCAGGACTCCTTTTGAGTGGGATTTTGAGCTCAGTTGGGAGTGGAGGCGATGGCATCTGGTCAGTTGGCAGGGCTGCAGGAGAGATGGGGCAGGCATTTGCCTTCCCAGCCGTAGCAGGCAGGCATCTCCCTGCTGTCAGCCGGAGCCTGTCGAAGGCCTGTGGATGATGCTTTCCGTCCAGGCAGCATTAGAAAACCATCCTCAGGAAAGACAGTCGTGCCCTCCTCTTGCTGCTTCTTTTTTATACCTGTGTTCCTTCTCCCTTTCAGCATTTTTCTCCCACTTACCAACTTCTCATTGTAAACATTCGTAGAAATGTTGGGAAGTACAGAGAAGTTAATGAAGAAATTAAAAGTAACCCATAATCCAGCCACCCAGAGATAAATTCTATGTAGTTCTTTAGTGTATGTTCTTTCAGTCTTTTTTCTTTTTATAGATATATTTAAAGTGGAATTATATCATTTAAAAATGATAGGCCGGGCTTGGGGGCTCAGCCTGTAATCCCAGCACGTTGGGAGATCAAGGCAAGTGGATTGCCTGAGTCTGCGGGTTCGAGACCAGCCTGGGAAACTTGGCAAGACCTCATCTCTACAATAAATCAAAAATTAGCTAGGTGTGGTAGCGTACGCCTGTAGTTCCAGCTACTTGGAAGGCTGAGGCGGAAGGATTACCGGAGCCCAGCAGGTCGAGGCTACGGTGGCTGGGGACATGCCACTGCACTCCAGTCTGGGCGACAGAGTGAGACTTCAAAAAAAAAATTATAAAATAAGCCATGTGTGATGGCTCATGCTTGTAATCCCAGCACTTTGGGAGGTGGAGATGAGAGAATTGCCAGAGCCCACAGGTTCAGTATCAGCCTGGGCAACCTGGCAAGACCTCATTTCTACAATAAATAAATATTAAAAATATAAAAAAATTAGAAAATAATAGCAAACATTTATTTGGTACTTACTTTGTAATAAGTACCGTTCTAAAATTTTTATGTATGTTAATTCATTTCTTTTTGCATGATTCTAGTAAAAACTATACAGAAGAGGATAAAGAAAATGAAAAATCAGTTCTGATCCCCCATGCTCCGTCTAAGGAAGTGCTGTTAACTTTTTGTTACAGACCTTTCCAGGCACAAATAAATACAGTTGTCCCTTGGCATCCACAGGGGATTGGTTCCAGGACCCCTGCAGACACCAAGACTCGAGGCTGCTCAAGTCCCTGTTTGAGCATGGCATAGCCTCCATAGATAACCTACTCTCATCCTCTGTGTATTTTAAGATATCTCTACTCATAATACCTAATTCAGCATCAATACTCTATGTATGTGAATACTCGCTCTACTGTATTGTTCTTTTATTATTTTTCATTGTCTTGTTTACTGTCTTTTTTTTCATATTTCTGATTTTTGTAGTTGATTGAATCCATGCATGCAGAACCCACAGATAAAGGCCAACCATATTGTGTCCGTTAAAGTGGAATCCTCCTATATATACCATCTTATAACCTGATTTTTTCACTTCATGGCATATTGTGGTGTTTTATTCTAACATGTTTGGGAACACTTTGTAAGTTTTTGTTTTTTCCCTTTTTTTCTTCATTTCCTGTACCACATGTAATTCTTCTTGTTCTGATCTTTCCGTCTTCCCGTGCTGTCCTCTCCTTCCCTGTTCTTCCCCACGACTTCCCTGGATGATGAGCTCCTCTGGGTGCTGAGGTTCCTTGTTCACCAGGAGTCCAAATGGCGCCCAGGGCTGGGGTCAGCCCCAGGAGATTCTGGCCAGAAGCCCTGTGGCAGGGGTGTGGTTCTGCAGGATCTTTCCCTCCACAGTGGCTCTGCTGTGCATGTGGCATCTACCTCCTGGAGCTTGGAAGGTCCCCTCACCCTTGCACGGCCCCGTTCTGGGCATCAGGGCCCCGTATGGCTCATGGTGCTTTGTTCGCAGGTGCCCTTCCCCACGATGGTGGCTCTGCTATGCATGTGGTTCGGCATCTCCCTGCCCCTCGTCTACTTAGGCTACTACTTCGGCTTTCGCAAGCAGCCGTATGACAACCCTGTGCGCACCAACCAGATTCCCCGACAGATCCCCGAGCAGCGGTGGTACATGAACCGATTTGTGGGGTAAGTTTGCCAGCAGGGGCGAGAGCAGAATGCTTCCAAGTGGGCAAGGCCAGCACTCCCTGGACTGCCTCCTTAGGAGGACATGGAAGAGAGTATTCTCCCCAAAGGGCTTTGTGACTAGTGTTCCTGTGGCTCCAGCCAGCTCTGAGAGACTTCGTAAAAACTTAGCCTCACACCAAGATCAGAGGACCAGGTTGTAGCCAGACTTGGTGTCGACCTGGGAGCCAGGACAGAGAAGAGTAGGATAGAAGGGTACAGTGGAACAGTTAAGACCATCTCCTGGAGCTGGGGCAAGTCACCCTGCCTTCCTGTGCCTCGGTTCCCCATCTACAAAATGGAGAGAATAGTGCTCATCCTGCCTGCCTTGAGAGGTTATAATGGTACAAAGGCATGCTGGAAGAACTAGAGCCACCACACTTGTTGGGCACCCTCCTCACACTGACTGGGTAGAGAGCTTGGCTTCAGTGGTGCTAACCCTCTTGTTCTGTGGCAGCATCCTCATGGCCGGGATCCTGCCCTTCGGTGCCATGTTCATCGAACTTTTCTTCATCTTCAGTGTGAGTACTGCTGTCTCCCGCCCCGAGCCTAGTCTCCCCGTCCACCAGGTGTTCTGCTGCTTACTGCCAGAAACTGCAGGCTCGCCGTGTGACCTCTCGGAGCCCCATTCTTCACCCTGAGATCGGGTGACAGCCCTGCCTCTCGGGACAGCTCTGAAAGTTCAGTGAGACATGCCGTGTGAACAGCGTGTGGAGAGGACCCAGTAAACAGAAGCTGCTTTCATTAACACTGCAGTCATTCACGGCCATAACTGATAGCATTGTTGCATCTGCTTTGATGTCTGAGTCCCCTACACGCCTTTACCTGTCTCCGTTATTCAAAACTCCCAGGAAAGTGGACAGAATGACCCTTGGTGGTCAGGATCATTGTGTGGCTGGAGCAATGTCTGGAAAGGTGCTAGGCATTAGGTAGTGCTGTTGTGGTGACAGTGACTCGTGCCCAGGAGGGCCAAGATGAAACTTGGTAGGAGGCTTCTTCAGAGCCATGGAAGTCTGGTCAACCCAGCTCAGTGTCCAGCACCCATGGTGCCTCGTACCAAGTCATTACTGGACATGTGTCTGCTATTCCAGAGTAGTAGCTCAGCCCTTCCCTGCTCAGACCATCTTGCCCCCCTCAAGCCTGCCTAAAAGAAACGTCACAGAATGGATTCGCTGCCCCTTGGCCCATGCAGACCTTCCAGGGATGCCCCTCTGTTCTGTCTCTGTGACCCTGGGCCAGCTCCTGGCTTCTCTGAGCCTTGACTTGAACCACAAAAGGCAGGCTTTCATAGGCTCACATGTGAAGGTGTATACAAAGCATGTGGCACTTGCTGAGTTGCCCTTGAGTGACTGTGGCTAAGCTGCCCCTGGGTAGTGGTGGCTGCTGCATAATTTTGATCACGATAAGAATCATTTTCTACAAACTGCCGAGTTCAGGCTGTGGCCCACCCAGAGCAGGGTCAGACATGCTCCAGACTCACAGGTCCTGACTGTATCATGACGAGGTCTCTGTTCCTGCCCTGGTGACAGGCGGCATGCCAGGGGAAAGAGCAGCAGGGTGGAGGCAGGCCGGCTGAAGGTCCACTGTGGTGTGTCCGCAGGCAATCTGGGAGAATCAGTTCTATTACCTCTTTGGCTTCCTGTTCCTGGTTTTCATCATCTTGGTGGTGTCCTGTTCACAAATCAGCATCGTCATGGTGTACTTCCAGCTGTGTGCAGAGGTGAGGAGAATGGGGCCAGGAGGTACAGGTAGGGGAGCTGGATCCAGCACTGAGCATGCTGGTGAGGCTAGGCACAGAGGCCCCACTTCTGGCGATGAGCTCTCAGGCCAGCATGCTGCCTTGCATCGCTGCACCTCCTTTGGTTCAGCCATTCCTCAGAGTCATTGATGCCTTCCAGCTTCATTGTGTGGGAGAGTCACCATGACTTCTGAAAGGACAGTAGATCTGCGAGAGCCGAGTCCACTCCAGTAGGAATTTTTCAGGTGCAGATTGGGTGACCTGCCTTCCCTCTGGGAACTAACTCTTGGCAGAGTGGGTGACGCATGGGATATGGGACAAATGCCTGTGCCGGAACCCGGGCTCCACGTTTAGTAGCTCTGAATCTTGGGCAGGCTGCCTAACCCCAGTGCCATCCATTCCTCCTCCATATGGCAGGAGTAATGATAGGACCTAACTCGGAGGGCTGCTACCAGGATTGAGTAAGTGGATTCATGCCTATAGTACCTTAGAATGGTACCTGGCACTTGGTAAGCATGTGCTCAGAAATATTACTTTGTGTTGATTTTTTAAATGAGGTATAATTTGTGAACAGTAAAGTTCACCCTTTTTAGTCTTCAAGTCTGTGGTTTTTAGAAATGCATACAGCTTTATAGCCACTGTCACAGTCTGTAGCGCATTCCATCATCCCAGATGCTGCTGCTCTTCTCCAGAGTCTTCAACCCTTCGGGCGGCCATCAGACTTGGCAGGAAGGGGTTCTGCCTGGAGGCCTCAATGACCCTTGCTCTGTTTCCTCCTCAGGATTACCGCTGGTGGTGGAGAAACTTCCTGGTCTCCGGGGGCTCTGCCTTCTACGTCCTGGTTTATGCCGTCTTTTATTTTGTGAACAAGGTACTGCCCCCCTTGAGGGGATCCCCTTGGTCCTCGTAGGGCTAGGTGGTCAAGAGATGGATGCTGGGAGAAAGCCTGCATGCTTGAACCCTATTCCCCCCTGGTAGGGAAGACCCAAGCCATCTGGAACTGCTTCTGCTGTAGAACATGCATCTTCTCAGAGAGAGAATCCATATGCTGTGTTTTGGGGAGACAAAAGCTGTCAGGATAAATGACAGAATACTACATGTACAACTTAGGGGATTTGACCAGAGCAGGGCTTGAAAGCAGTATGTCACCTGCACTGCTTTTAACAGAAAGTAAGAGAGACTGATAATACAGTATGTACCTCAAGAAACTAGGAAGAGAGAACAGTAGCATGAAGAAAAGTAGATGCAAGGAGTTAATAAAGGTAAAAGCGAGGTCGGGTGCAGTGACTCACACCTGTCATCCCAGCACTTTGGGAGACTGGGGCGGGAGAATCACATGAAACCAAGAGTTTGAGACCAACCTGGGCGACATAGCAAGACCCATCTCTATAGTGTAAATAAATAAGCAGAAAATGCTGAAATAGCCTTTAGAACCTAAAATGAGGACCTCAGGCATCCTGTTCCAGAGGCCGCCTTCCCTCCTTTTCACAAATCCTTTGTAGACCTGCAGAGGAAGGCAGGGAGGGGCAAGACTGAAGGACAGTAGACAAGGCTTTATCTCAGAGCCTACTCTGGGAGCCCACAGAGGCCAAGTGTCATCCAGCAGTACAAGGCAGCCTGGCTTACCTGAGAGGGCAGACTCACAGAGCTTATTGTCCCCAGGGAGTGCCATGGGTAAGATACAAATGTCCCCACAACAGTTCTCGAAGATTCATGCCTCTACCAGATAGGCCATTGAGAGGAGTTGGAGGGCACTCTGGGTGGGGGGGGGTCCCTCGCCTCCAGAGCTGACACTTAAGACTTGCTCTCACTCACTATACATTGGGTCTCCAAAGCCCAAAAGTAAACTGTCCTCCGCTTGCAACCGGGATGTATCTGCAGGGTGGAGTTATAAGTCAGTTGGTTGGAGCTTAGAATGCCCCTTCCCAAAAATCTCCAGGTTGGAGAAGACTTGAAGGATCATCTGGGGCAGTGCTCCCTCCCCCCCACCCTAAAACACCTGGAAGAGGGAAGATGGGGAACACTGCTGGGCAAACAAAAACTAGAGGTCGCATCACAGCTCCTGTACATCCTCCTCCCGGCCTGTGCCTCGTCTACAAAATGAGGGTGTTTCCAGCTTGGCCTCTTTGTCTTGACCCTTGCCTGCTTTTTTGTTTTTGTTTTTGTTTTTTTGGAGAATGCAGGATTTATTGAGAGGACAGAGAACAGAAAATTTCCCACAGTGGGCCCGAAGGGGTTGCCCCACTTGCCTGCTTTTACCACCTCCCTGCGAGAATGCTTATAGGAAAAGGTAGCGGTTGACCTGAACACAGGGCCTTCACCTCTCAGGTTGAGGAGAGGGCCTCACATGGTGCCCTGTGTTGTTTTCTTCTTCTTTATTTTCTTCTGGGCTCCTGGCATTCTATGACCATGTGTCTGCCTATGAGCCCTGGGACAGGCACCATTCAGGTCCTGGTGCACCAGGCATATCTTGATGTCAGGGTTCCAGATCAGCTCCTTTCTTCCCAGCAAACAACACAACACAGATTCCTAGCAGCTCTGCCCAGGCCTCTAAACTCTACCCTAGTTACAGAGGAGTCTAGAAGGCTCTGAGGTACAGATCACTGAGATGTTAACAGGAGTGACAAGCATTCTCAGGAGGACAGGACTGCCAGCTGAAGCAGGCCGATGGCTAGCTCTCTAGTCCTTAAGCAGGGCCCCTCGGACACCCTTCCCCTCTACCCCCTGTCCCCACCCTGACTGCTGCTCCAGCCTTCCAGGCTGTTGCCATACTGCTCTGGGGACTGTGAGGGACCAGGAAGGGCACAGCTGTGGCTATTCCTGCCTATGACATCCTGGTCCTGGCTCCCGAGGCCACGAGCACCAGGGCAGCACGGAGGCCCTGGTACAGATGAGGCTGGGCTACGGCTGTGACCCTGCCTGCCCCTCCTGCTCACCTGGAGCAAGCTGCTTCTCCTCACCAGGCCTCAGTTTCCCTGTGCTGTCAGTAGTGGGGACCTGGCACTAAGTGTCCACTCTCTTGTTTGTTGCTGCAGCTGGACATTGTGGAGTTCATCCCCTCCCTCCTCTACTTTGGCTACACGGCTCTCATGGTCCTGTCCTTCTGGCTGCTCACGGGCACCATCGGCTTCTACGCAGCCTACATGTTTGTCCGCAAGATCTATGCTGCTGTGAAGATAGACTGATGGGGTGGACCATGGTCAGGTCCACCCCATCCTCGGACAGGAAGCCACCCACGTGGGGGACTGCAGGCACGCGAAATAAAATAACTCCTGCTCGTTTGGAATGTAACTCCTGGCACAGTGTTCCTGGATCCTGGGCTGTGTGGGAGGCGGGAGGGCCTGTAGATAAATCTTGTCTTTCTTCATCTTATTCCAGTTCTGTGGGGGATGAGTTTTTTGTGAGTTGTTTTTTCTTCCGTGGTAAGAAAGTTCCCTCAAGCCTTGGAACTCTCTGACCTGTTGATTCAGGTATATTTTTGGTTTGGGTTTTTTTTTTCCTTTTTTGTTTTCCACAAATGGATCCAGGATGGATAAATCTACCAAGCTATGTGTTTTGGTCACTGTCTCCACCTCAGTTCCTCAGGGCTGCTGGCCGCCCCACGACTCACTAACTGGAAGAGGAAACACTGGGGCTGCAGTGAGGTCTCCTGGCCTCTCCCTGCCCATCCTCACCACTGAGGCCACGACAAAGCACAGCTGCAGCCTGGACAGCCCCTCAGGGCCTGTCAGCCTCACCAGCCCTCTGCTTCCCTCCTCCCTCCTCCCTTCTCCCAGGGCTGCCTGAGGCAGGCTTCCAGCCAGGCCTGTGGGTCATCTTCTCACCAGGAGGAGGCCCGAGTCTTGGTTGCTACAAGGAAGCCCCTTGGAAGTGCTGGAGGCCCGGCTCCCCAGGACAGCAGGAATCACCTGTTGAGAGCAGTGGAGTTTGCTGGACCAACAAGGAGGAAGAAGAGAGGCTTGCATTGACCTGTTTTTTTGTGCCAAGAAATCCAGGATCTGGGGCCAAGTATTTCCAGAGCCAAACGTTCCCTTGTCTGTGTCTGGGAGGGGATGGCTGAGGCTGCTGGGCTCCTCGCCCTCAGGACAGCTCCCCAGCCCTTCCTCAGGGGCTGCTGTGGTGGCAGACCCTCTCCTCCCCACTTCCAGGGCAGAATGAGGAGGCCTGGAGGCCGCAGATCCCTCCATCAGGCGGCTGGCGCTCTCCCCGACCTCGATGTTCATGCTCGTTCTTTTAGCCAGACCCGTCCCCTCCACCCCCGCCTGAGTCCTTGCCTCCTTTTTGGGACACCCAAAAAACTGCTTGTGAGAAGGAAGATGGGAGGTAAGTTCTATCGTTCCTTCCCCAGTTCCCAGGAATAGGCAAGCAGTCCTGTCTCCCCAGCTAGAAAGGGGGCTCGCGTGGCTGACTTGGCTCCTCTACAGGCCCTGCGCCCCCAGCCTCTGCACCCTGTGCAAGCCACACACATTTGCTCTTAAGTTGCAAGAGACCAAATCCACCTGGGAGTAAAGTTCAGGTGGTAGTCACTCACCCTCGCTCCAGCTCCTCTGGGGCTCCCACAAGACAAAGCTCAGGATTGTCCCAGGAAAGTGCCCCGCCTGCCCCACCCCACATCCTTCCAGCCCCCGCCAGCTCCACCAGCCAACCCAGTGAATTTCTCAATCTTGCCTCACAGCAACTCTGCAGTGCCAAGCGGTGTCTGCCAAGAATCGGGTTGGAGGACAGGGAACCCAAGCAGTAGAGAGTGATACGGAATCTCGTTCATTCAAATCTTGGATTGGCTTCCCTAAGAGATTCTCATTTCAGGGGGATGGGAAATGGACACCTCAAAGAGTTCAGACATCATCAGTTTTTCTGACTTTTTAAATCATGATCATTATTATTTTTCATTAAAAAATGCCTGTATGCCTTTTTTGGTCCAGTTGTAAATAAACATGCCCTTGTCCTATGGTTTTGTCTTGGATGCCGTGCAGGGGTTGGAGGCCAGGTGAGGCAGCTCCCCAGGGGGATTGAGCTGAGGGGTTTCCCTCGAAACCCAGGCTCCCATTGAGCAGCCTGGGGCTCAGCCACTGGTGTTTCTGCCTGGCACGAGTCCGTGGCCCCTCGCGTCCACTCAGCCCCTTTGGCCCCACAAGCAAGTGGTGCAGGTGTGAGCCGCCGGTAGCAGTGTCACCTGGTTTGGGATTCCCAGCTCCAATATTTTACTGTCAACTTACCTCACCCTCTTCAGCATGTAGGACTCCTTCAACTGCAGGCAACAGAAATGTTGGTCAGCCTGGTTTACGTCCAAAAGGAGTTGACTGGTTCATAAGTCATCAGGGACACTGCTGGTCTTGGTCTGGCTGGTTCCAGGGTCTCAAAGGACAGCCGTAGGGCTCCTTCCCTTTCTCCACTGCGCTTCTCACTAGTCTTACTTGGCCCCATTGTCAACAGTCCTCTTCCTGATGGCGGAGGCAGGCAGGGCATGATGCAGATCTCTCTGGGCTTGCATTACCTAGTCAGGTATGCCCAGAGCGGGGGAAGAAGACATGTCTCTCCTTACTTCAATATATTCAATATAGCCGGGCTTGGTGACTCAGCCCGTAATCCCGCGCCTTGGGGAGGCTGAGGTGAGTGGATTGCCTGAGTCCGCGGGTTCGAGACCCACTTGGGCAAGTTGGCGAGACCTCATCTCTACAATAAATCAAAAAATCAGCTGGGCGTGGTAGCGCGTGCCTGTAATTCCGGCTACTCGGAAGGCTGAGGCAGCAGGATCGCCGGAGCCCAGTGAGTAGAGGCTGCGGTAGCCAGGAGCGGCCACTGCACTCTAGTCTGGGCGACAGAGTGAGACTCCAACTCAAAAAAATATATATATGTATTCAATATATGTTTGCTGCTGGGCTCAGTGGCTCAGCCTGTAATAACGCGCTTTGGGAAACCGCGGCGAGCAAATTGGCTGAGCCCGTGGGTTTGAGAACCACCTGGGCAACTTGGTGAGACCTCATCTCTACAGTAAATAAAAAAAATTAGCCGGGTGTGGTAGTGCAAGCCTGTAGTTCCAGCTACTTGGAAGATTGAAGCGGAAGGATCGCTGGAGCCCAGCAGGTCAAAGCTGTGGTGGCCGGGAGCGGCCACTGCACTCCAGTCTGGGTGACAGAGTAAGACTCCAATTCAAAAAAAAAAATCAATATATGTTTGCTTATATAGATAAGTCCCAGGAAGCATAACATCTCTGACTGGCCCAGCTTGGATTACTCTTTACATTACTCTTGCACCAATCACTATGTCTGGGGGGACAGCATGATTAGGGGCCACATTGAAGGTATCAGATGGATTTCTGCCCCACTGGAACCACTTGGGATGGGTAATGGCACTTTCCCATGGCCATGGATGCAACTCAGACAAAATCAACAGCTGCCATTCCAGCCTCAGATTCCTCACCTGCAGGGAAAAGGGTGCTGGCCACTGTTCAAGAAGTGCTGCTGCCTGGGTTCCCAACTGTTCCAGACATGCCATGGATCTCAGATTTGTTCCACAGTAGAGAAGATCTGCTGCTGACAGGCTCCACTATCACACTTTTGCAGAGGAGGTCACCAGAAAGTGACCAAGCTGTTGAGGTGACCTGCTGTGGGTCCCATGGCAGGTGAGTGGTGAAGAAGTGTTCAGCTGGGCAGCTGGTCTCCAGAGCCTGTGCTTCCAACTGTGCTGCCTTTTAAAAGTCATATGCATGTGTGTGCATGTATAAAATTGTATGTAACTGATGTAAAATAAACCACATGGTTTGGTGCATTTTGATGCACCCCTGAGACCATCACCACAATCATGGTGGGCATGTCCCAGTTTCCTCAGGCCCCTTCATGACTTTGCCCTCTTGTCTCTCACCACCTCCTGTGGTTTGGATGTTTGTCTCCTCCAAACCTCATGTTGAAATGTGATCCCTCGTGAGTAGATGATGCCCTCCTCGGGGGTGAGTTCTCACTCTTAGTTCCCGCCTGGTGCCCTCACCCTATTTCCTCTCCCACCATGCGATCACCACACGTGCCAGCTCTCCATCTTCTGCAGTGAGTGGAAGCAACCCGAGGCCCTCAGCAGCAGCAGATGCCCAATGTTGAACTTTCCAGTCACCAGAATCATGAGCCAAATCAGCCGTCTTCTTTATAAATTACCCAACCCCAAGTATTCCTTTATAGCAACACAAAGTAGACTAAGACACTGTCCCAAGAAATCACTGGTCTTTGTCACTACAGGTTGGGTTGCATTTCCTAGAACTTTCTATAAATGGAGTCATACACTGTATTTTTTGTCTGACTTTTATCATTCGGCATACTTATTTGAGATTCCTCCTTGTTCTTACATGATTTTTTTTTTTAAAGAGATGAAGTCTTGCTATGTTGCCCAGGCTGGTCTCAAACTGGCCTCAAGGAATCCTCCCACCTCGGCCTCCCAAAGTGCTGGGATTATAGGCATGAGCCACTGCACTTGCCTGATTTCTTTTTTGATTCATGTTTAGTTTCCAAATATTGGGGGATTTTTTTCAAGGATCTAACTTATTTACTTCTGATTTCTAATTTAATTATATTGTGGGCAGAGACTTGGTATTACTTGAATCCTTTTGTCTTTATTGAGACTTGTTTTAGGGCCCCAAAATGCTCTATTTTAGTAAACATTCTTGTACAATTGAAAAGAATGGATATTCTGTGTTCTTGGGCAAAGTTTTCTGTAAATGTAAGTCAGGTCAAGTTTACTGATAGTGGTGTTCAGTTCTGTGATACTCTTGCTGATTTTCTGCCTGCTTATTCTGTCAGTGATTGAGAGAAGGCTGATAAAATCTCTGTCATTGTAGATTTGTATATTTCTCCTGGCAGTTGTCTTTGCTTATATGTATTTTGTTAGGTACATATTATTCTTTGGATCAATGTATCCCTTGTAATTTATCTAGTTTATCTATTTTGTCTGGTACTGATATAGCCAATCCATTGTCTTTCATTTTTTTCTTTTACTCACTACAACACTAATGACAAATGTTAGCATAGTGTGTCTTTTCCATCCTTTTAGTTTTAACCTATTTGCATTTTTATATTTAAAAATGTGTTTTCTGGCCGGGCTCAGTGGCTCAGCCTGTAATTCCAGCACTTTGGGAGGTGGAGGCAGTGGATTGCCTGAGCCCACGAGTGTGAAACCAGCCCAGGCAACTTGGTGAGACCTTGTCTCTACAATAAAAATAAAAAATAGATGGGCATGGCAGCACACATCTGTATTTCTGGGTACTTTGAAGGCTGACGCAGAAGGATTGCTGGAGCTCAGAAGGTCAACACGGGTGACTGTGAGTGTGCGTGCCACTGCACTCCAGCCTAGGCAAAGGAGTGAGACTCCAACTCAAAAGAAAAAATTTTTTTCCTATAGCCAGCATATAGCTTGGTCTTGCTTTTTTATCCAGTCTTGAAATCTCTGCTTTTTAGATCATTTATATTTGAAGTGATGATTGATTTGGTTGTGTTCTATAATCTTGCCTTCTTTTAGAGAAATAAAGTATGCTTTGTGATCGCATTTAATCCCTTTATTGGCTTATTGGCGAGTAGATTGACTGAGCCCGTGGGCACAAGACCAGGCTGGGCAACTTGTTGAGACCACGTCTCTACAATAAAATAAAAAATTAGCCAGGCATGATAGCGCATGCCTGTAGTTCCAGCTACTTGGAAGGCTGAGGTGGAAGGATCGCCAGAGTCCAGCAGGTCAACACTGGGGTGGCCGTGAGTGTGCCACTGCACGATGGAGTGAAACTCCAACTCAAAAAAAAACCACCTCACAATACATTGTTGTAATTCTTAAACAATTGTCTTTAAATAATTTAGATAGAAACATGTTATATATGTACCCAGGTAGTTACCATTTCCAATGACCTTCAGTCATTTGTGTAGATCCAGATTTACATCTGGTGTGATTTTCCGTCTGCCTGAAAGATGTCCTTTTACATTTCTTGTAGTGAAGATCTGATGATGATGAATGCTCTCAGCTTTTGGATGTCTAAAACATCTCAATTTTGCCTTCATTGTTGAAAGATATTTTTGCGGGGTATAGAATTCTAGGTTGAAAGGTTTTTTTTTCTTTCCTAGTACTTTATTTTATTTATTTTATTTTTTTTGAGTTAGAGTCTCACTCTGTCGCCCAGACTGGAGTGCAGTGGCTGCTCCCGGCCACCGCAGCCTCGACCCGCTGGGCTCCGGCCATCCTTCCGCCTCAGCCATCCAAGGAGCTGGAACTACAGGCGCGCACTACCACGCCTGGCTAATTTTTTGATTTATAGTAGAGATGGGGTCTTGCCAAGTTGCCCAGACGGGTCTTGAACCTGTGGGCTCAGGCAATCCACTCACCTCAGCCTCCCAAAGGCACGGGATTACAGGCTGAGCCATGGAGCCCGGCTTCTTTTAATTTTTTTTTTTTTTTTTTTTTGAGATGGAGTCTCACTCGGTCGCCCAGTCTGGAGTGCAGTGGCCACTGGCCTCACCTGCTGAGCTCCGGCGATCCTTCCGCCTCAGCCTTCTGAGTAGCCGGAATTACAGGCATGCGCTACCATCGCCCAGCTGATTTTTTGATTTATTGTAGAGATGAGATCTCGCCGCCCAGGCAGGTCTCGAACCCGCGGGCTCAGGCAATCCACTCACCTCAGCCTCCCAAAGACGCGGGATTACAGGCTGAGCCACCGAGCCTGGCTCTTTTAATTTTTTGAGTTGGAGTCTCACTCTGTCGCCCAGACTGGAGTGCAGTGGCAGCTCCTGGCCACCGCAGCCTCGACCTGCTGGGCTCCGGCGATCCTTCTGCCTCAGCCTTCCAGGTAGCTGGAACTATAGGCGTGCACTACCACACCCGGCTAGTTTATTTATTGTAGAGATGAGGTCTCACCAAGTTGCCTAGGCGGGTCTTGAACCTGCGGACTCAGGCAATCTACTCACCTCAGCCTTCCAAGTTGCGGG